TTATTGATTGAATAATAACCCCCCCTCAACATCTCAGGCACAGTTACTGTTAAATTCAGCCAGCCTGCGTTGTAATGTTCTGCTTTGTGTCATTTTGTGTGGAGCGCCTCAGGTGTGGCTGAACACACAGCCGTGATTTAGCACTTCTCTGGCAGCCAGGTGTTCATTTCACTAACAATAGAGCTGCGACGTCATTGTGCAACGGGCCAGCTCCATCCTCTCATCACAAATTGGAAAGCAGGGCCCAGTCACTGCCTCGCTTCCGAGTCCGACTTGTAAATGGTATTTTTATTTAAGGACTCCTCTTTGTCTTGCTAATCAAAGATGCCTCTTGTTTGAAATGCGGGTGAACGATGGGGGATGGGATGATGGCCAGGAGAGATGGATGGGAGAGAGGATAGGTGAAGGTATACAGAGAAAGGGTTCCTGTTTAATTCATAGATCCGGTTTTGATAGGGGTTTTAAACAGCTGGGGTTTTGGATGTCATCGCTCCTTTTTTTGCAGTATTAATGCAGAGACAACAACAAAGATACTGCAAAGGCTTGAGTTCAGTGATTTATTTGGGAACACACACACAGGGATAAAGGAAACATCCCATATCAGCTGCAACATTTGACTAAAGCTATAGAGAAAATAAGCACGCACCTGCGTTCTCATAATGCACACAGTAAGCGGACAGAAGTATAATCCACTGTGGCTGACAACAAACAGTCTCCCATATGGATTGTTGTTGATTCTACACTTACAGGTCTTCTGCATTTGTTGCTGCATCTAAGTTTGCATTGCATTTAAAGAAACAAGCTTTGCGGCTATCGGAAAAAAAGAAATACCAGATTAGAAAAGGCATGACGTGTTTGAGGACATTTCTGTACAGATATCACCCATCTCAGTGGAACGGCAAGAAGACTTAAGTGAGATATGTACACAATAGAAATGTACTGCTAGATAGAGGAGGTGAGGAAACTGAAATACCCAACAGACCAATTCTGTTTGATGGATTACGTAACAGTGAATAAATAATCCTTATATATAGGCTTCTCATTGAGGAGTCAGGAGATGCGCTCTATTTGTCAAACACATCTACCTCTTCTTTACACCAATGACACCACAGGGGGATGACAACAACTCTGTAACAGGAAGGTTGTTATACTTATACAGACAATCAGGAATAATTCACTAGTCTCTAAATTGTTCCAGGTCAGATTATGCTAAATTTAAGTGGAAAGGTTCTCCAGGGGTACTTCAAAGTTGTTCAGGTGCAATTTAACGGCTGACAGAGACACTATAAACACTTGCGTGATGTGTTGTGCCGGCAGGTTTCTGTTTCTATAATAAGCATTGACTTTGATGTATGATGTATGAGTCAGAGGGTAAAGGTATATCTCTAATCAAATATTGACCAAATAATAGAGGGATGTTGCTAATTAAAATCACAGTCGGGCATTAGTAGAACTGCGCTGACAGTGCATCTTTTTTCAAAAGCAATTGTGATCAGATGATTTTGTTTTCATTCTTAGAAAGCTGTCTAGAGCTAACTGCCCCTGCATGGCCTTGTAGCAGTAGCTCAACATTGGGTCAAAAATACAAATCTGAATTTTTCATATACATTAAAGAAATAGTTTTATATTTTGGGAAATACACTTTCAAGAATTATTTAAAGATTAATTCCACTATTATGCTTGCTTAAGGCTACAGCCAGCGTCCGGTTAGCTTAGCTTAGCATAACGACTGCAGGGGAAACAGCTTGCCTGGCTCTGGCTAACAAAATCTCTCTACCAGCACTACTGGTTCACTAATTAACACACATCTTGTTTTTTGATAAGTGGATTTTGTCTTCTTTAGACTGCGCCAGGCCTCTGTTTTCCTGCTAAGCTAAGCTAACTGCCTCCTGGCTCTAGCCTGATAATTACCAGACAGAGAGCCAATGAGAGTACATCTGTTTTCATCTCACTGTAGGCAAAAAAGCAGGAAGGTCTATTTCCCGAAATGTAAAACTATTTCAAAAATTGATGTTGAACATTAGGTTCCATTAGGTTACATTTCATGTTTGTTTTTTTTAGATGAAAAAATCTATTTAGACTATAAATGAATGCCAACTCAACTATTGATGTTTAATGTGGTGTATCTGTATTCATCCCTAATCAACATATGACAACACCGTGCAATGATCTGTTACATTTCTAAATTGGCTTACCTTTCAAATGAGCTGTAATGTTTCACATCAAATCATTTGTTTTCAAAGGGTGAGTCTAATTACTGATTCATTATCAACGCAGCCTGATCAGAAGAAAATGGTCTGACATTAACTCTCTCTTTGGTCTGACTCTGAATTCCAGTTTAATTTATGTCTACTAAAATACAGACTGTTTGCAATCCAAAACATCTCTCCTCTCCCCTTGGCTGGAAGTTCAAAATCAAGCTCATAAATTCATTCCAAAGATCAATTAGTACGGCCTGTTTTTAGCCAATAGACCTGCTCTGTCATTCTTAGAAATAATGGTTCCAAATGGGTTCTTCCTAGAGGGCTGAGGTTCTACCCAGAACGATTTACTTCTGACTTTGACTTCTGACTAGGTGTTAAAGGGGGCACTAATAATCCAGTTTTTGATAGAGCCCCCTAAGTGGGTTCTTGTTAGCACCCTTAGAAGATGGAAAAGTTCTGGGTAGAACCTCCAGAGAAGGTTCCAGGTGGAACCTTTACAAAGGGTTTCACCCAGAACCACAAGGGGTTCTATGAAGACAAGCCAAAGAACCCTACGGTTGTGGTTACCACCTTTATGTAGTATGAGTGTAGAAGTGTGAAATGTGAAATGTGTGGAGATTTAGAATTACCAGTGTGTAGCCCATGCTTATCTCAGAAAAGCTTCCTTGGAAGGAATGATTCAATTTCTGTACCTCTATTTGAAATGTGTGCACTGGTCTTCAGCAACCAAAATAAATGGAAATCGGCAATCAGAATAATTATTGTGGAAACACCTTCTAAGCTCCAGTGTGGTCTGTTACAATGCTCTGAAAATCTCTTTGGAGACTGGAGCCACACAGAGTGACACACAGAGGGTGAACCAATCAGGAGGAAAGTGTGAGAAAAGCAAGTGCCTTGGTTAACAGGTCACATGCTATGATTAGACAATGGAAAACCAAAGCACGTGCACTCACTTTGTATTTTTATCAATGTGTTCCCATAAATCATAACTCTTTCATGTTTAAACAGAACTCAGCTCTAGCAAAGTGACTATTGATCAAAAACAATCGATGGCCTAAATTTCTGGATGACTGCAATCTCTGATATCTGGCAGCATGCAGCATGCTGAATAATCACCGCCACAGTCAAGCATCTCTGATCAACCCACCATCCAAAACAGATACCATCAATAAATCAATAACATAAATATCAGAATGTATTGTAAAATATCAGCATAATCAGCAACTTTCAAGGCAGAAATCCCTTTCCTCATTAAACTATTTTGTAACAACATGTTTTTTGTGTGTGTGGGGGAGAGATTTGCTCGACAGACACCTTGACATTCTTGAATTGTCTTTGATTTCATGTCAACGTTTGATGACATAATGTGCTTTACACTAGGGGGAGACAAAGACCCTTCATAAATGGATAAGCATTGTGCATTGCAGATTACATGAATGATGCTTTATGGTAATATTTTATCATGGCAAAACGAAAAATAGCTGCAACGCTTGTCAGGCAAAAAGTGGTGGCTGTGTTTTAAATACATTGACTACAGGCTTGCATATTTTTTAAAAAGAGCTGCATTGTGTGTGCAGACTGCTTTGTCAGTGGGATTTTGAGCTGTCGGTCACCAGTGACATATTATGTGACTATCTATTTCCATTTGTGAGCAAAGAAAATTAGCTCCAAATTTAGAGTGTTTGTTGTTACGGTCTGGTGTTACCAGAGCACAAAGGGCGGTTGGGGCCTCGTGGTTTAAATTAAACGTATATTCATAGAATGTAGGCCATATTATTGGGTTGTATCCTCCGGGAGGCACATTTTAACAATAGATAAGAAAGGAGGAGAGACACAGAGAGGCAGAGAGTGAGAGAAAGGAGGGTTACAGAATTGCACTTTAATGCATCTCAAAGCCATAATACCATATAGTTGCAGAGTTTATGGGATGTGTTGCACAATCAATAACCAATCTATGTGAACTTGATTGATAAGGTTGGACTTGTTACATTACCTATTTGCCATTCAAACAAAATACATCTGACCTTGGTAGGTTCATGGGGGCATTTCTTCTATCTATCAAGCCTCTATTAGCAAAGCGTGCTGGGTGACTGGTGGCTCCGTTATATAGTTTATGCATAGTAAGTAATAAACCATTCTGCACTTTGGTATGGCTGTGCATAAATGAATGTGCCTCAACTACCTCGTGGTAATGTCTTTGTCAGGCAATCTACCTCGCTATAGGCATGCCTGATGTTGCAATAACAACAGCTGCTGCTGCTATATCTGTCTCTGCTGTGGGTCACGGGTAGTTAAAAGTGCAATGTACATCACATCTCTCTGACAGTGACAGTCTTTTCCCCTGTCTCTCTCTTCTTGTCTTCCCCCTTTTGCATGTCTTTCTGTCTTCCACAACCTTTTTGATCCTGCTTATCTGGACCAGCTCTGCTCCCATTGAATAAAGCTCTGTCCTACACAGTACTGTATCTCAGCTCTGTTGGACTGACATTGAAAATACACAGTTAACTTCAAGTAGAAACAAATCGAAATACTTTTTTTATTAGCTGTTTTTCTGCACCGTTAATGGGAGCTGGAAACACCAGAGGTCTTTATTGCGGTTGATTTAGAGCCCACGCTATTCCTTTCAACAGCACCACAGTCACAGATAATAAGGAGAACATAAGACAAACGGTGCTGAAAGTCAATACTGTATTTTCCTCTCAACATCCAAGTGGACTCTATCGTTGTGTAATTTCAATGGCGTCTGCATAAACAGAAGTAAGAACTTTTCAGTAAAAAGAGCTGCAACACAGACTGTGGGATGCATCGCGTTTAATAGTTCAAAAGGAGCTCACTCACACATATCCGTAATAGGCAAAAAACAGTGTGGTATGATTGGATCAAATAATATACACATTTTGACATCGCTGCACACGCATTTAATCTCGATAGCAATGCTGTTATAGAACACCAGCCACAGTTTAAGAATTTCAGAGTTACTGGTCGAGTAAAACTTAACCTACTGGATGTACTTTGAACACAGATTAAAGATTTATACCTAATGACGTATATATATAATGAATATAGATCAACTCATACAGAGTGACCTAATACAGTATAAATGTCTCTATATTTCCATTACATTGTGGTTTCACTGATGCACACAGCAAAACAGGGAGAAATGCACATCCATACAGTATAAAAGCTGCAATCCATTTTCCTTAAAAATACATTGGCCAGAACAAATAAAACTGTGACCCAAAATCCAAGCATCGTCTATAAAATTGTAATAAAACAAAGTGAACTAAACAAGAACAACAGAGTCGGTATTCAAGTTGTATATAACAGCCAGGAGGACAGTTTCTTTTATTGGATCATTTCTCTCGTTTATAGGTTATAAATCACACAGGCGCCACTAACTACTAAAAAAATAATCAGTCGCTCCGTATACTCTGGCAGGTCCAAGTGAAGCATGGCTGATAGTAAGTGCGAGACACTGACGTGTTTGTTCTTTAACCTGCTGTATTTAAGAAAACACTTCATTTCAGGTGCCTGGCACGAAGGTAAAAACAAATTGTGAGGAAAGGAGGAGACAAATGAGCACTTTTTTTGTTGATACACAGGGAAGGTCGGTTGGCCGGATTCCCATGGCTGTCTGGGAGTAATGATACCTTCATAGTGGCATAGACGAGCTTGTGGACTCTATGCCTTTTACTGTCATCGAAGTTCCATCGTGATTGGTTAATATCTAAAAAGAGCAGAGAACATGTTCAATCTTACTCAACATGGAATCATTTATGTGCTAAATAACCAGTGGCATATTGCAGACTGCAAAATTAAATGATATACAAAGTCAACATGATCTAATACAAATGTGTCCTTAAGGATTATTATAACTCAGGAACCCTATTTCATATACATGCAAATGCAATACAATGTAGACTGATATCATTTATTAACTTTATATGCAGTTCAGTGCCTGAGGGGACTGTGTTTGAATTGTATGTACTCATAATTGTCATGTTTTATATTGAACTACTGTACACTGAATGGGGGGAGAGAACGAATGGGGGACTTGTGATCAGGTGACATTTCCAAAAATGGCAAAGTGAACGAGCAAGAGGAGACACACAGGGTGCTGAAGCAACAGGACTCCACAAGCTGCACGTGAGTTATGAGTCTAGAAGAGTGAGTATAAACAGTGAGTTACAAAGAGAGAGAGGGATGATTTCACTGATCGGGATCAGGTTGAGAGAGTCACATGTAAAATACCGTGTCACTGTTAACAGCTTTTATTCGGTAACAGGAGCGGCTGGGTTGTCTTTCTGCTCAGAAGGAATGGCTAGGTAGTTTGTCCTGCAGGCAGATTGGTATAGAAACAGAGGAGTGTCTAAGACCTGGTGGTAGGACAATTTCTATCACCATGTACCACAAAATAGTGCTGGTTAAGGTTTGAACAGCGGTGTAACATCACGCTGTTCCCTTATGGGACTGTGCGTCTTCTGCATTCATAACTGTCCCTTATTCATGATGTCACGGCAATGTACACCCCCAGAGGAAAACGCTTTTAAAAGATAAAATCTATCACTGCAATGTGGGCAGCGGGGAGCCATCATCAGAAATAAATGACGACCTCATACAGTATTTAACAGCAATTTTTCATATTGTTAAAAACCACAGTACCTCCACCAAATATGCGCTCAATTTAATAGAACTGCACAGAAACTGTGTAGATGAAGTAGAATTCATAATAGTGAGAAGACTTTTGTGACTCTGTCAGCATATTTAAAACAGAGCCTCATTTTGTATGTGTGTCTTTTTTTTTTTTACAGATTATCACTTTTGCTGCTGCGTTCCATCTTTCCCTTCGGTAACTTCGGTAAACCCTCTAATGCATCACAGAATGTTCTGGTAGACTACATATCCATGAAGCCAGAGTAGCTAAGAAGTCCACCACGAAACAGCTTCTTTGAGTGGGTGTAGTTTCTTGCAGTCAGACGTGTTGTCATACGGGTCAATAACCGCCACAACCCATTCACTCTTTCAGCTGCAGGAACTGATCAAGTGTACAAAGTTACACACATTCGATCACTTGATGCTTTGAATTAATGTGCACTCATGATCTGTACATTGACCAATAAACTTTACTTAAATGCTGAGGGCTGATTTCTACTTAAAAAAATATAACATAAGTCGACAGCCCCTTCATGGCTTAAATGTGCCACTAAATGTTGCTAAATAAAAATGCTTGCTGGGTTCTAGAGCTGGTTCACTTCATTGGAGCTGCAAAAACGATTCGTTTTGATTCATTGATTTGATCATTTTCTCGATTGATTGTTTTGTCTATAAAATGTCAGAAAATGCACAATTTCTCAGAGCCCAAGGTAACATATCTATCACATTATATTTTGAAAACTTGAAAATATTTATGTAACTATCATAGTTCTACATTGCATTTTTGTCAATTTGTTTGGTGATGCTTTATTGAACAGGTCTGTAACTTACAGTTTCCTAATTATTTCCAAAGATTTCACGATATAGAGGTCTGTATTTTCTCTATTTTTAGTACCAGTGTTGGAATAAAGTGTTACTTTACAATGTTTCTCTATTAGGTTGTGTTGTGTTGTGTCCAACCCCTGTGTATCTATTTGTCTGGGCTCTATGCATCATATTTGAAATCAGGATTAATCGCTCGCAAAACCACAAGAACTGGATAAGCACATGTTCTCTGGGATTGTTCTGTTTGGGACATAAATTGCCTCTTTAGAAGTTGTCAATCTGGATTGAGTGGCCTCGTCAACACCACAACAACCCGGAGGGAGCTGAGTATACAGGCACATTTGAGTCTTTGTCAGTGCTGACAAGGTGCTGCAGAAAATGAGTTTCTGATGGAGCTGCAAATCCACCAGTGATGTAAAAAGGCTGTTTCGAAAAAAGAGCAGTCAGCAGTGCTTAGAATTATTCAGGCCTGTCAGGTAGTCTAAGTAAAAAGACAGATTACTGTTGCAGGAGGTTACAAACTGATGCAGTGCCGACTCAATTAACTCTATGTCTGTTTGTGTGTCTGACTCTTTCCCTTCACCTCTTTCCGTCAATCTTTGCCGACATAATCTCTCTTTCAGACCTGTTTCTAAATTTCTACTTATTATTATGTAATAACCAGACACCCAGGAACACACAGGTAACATTTATTTGGCACACACCATCTTGGTGACTCACTGAACCCACTGCGTTGCTGTTGCACTTTGGAAATAGGATTGTGTTCCAATTACCTGCTTTCCTTCGTACCCAGACTCCCACTTATCTGTGTTTGCGTCCATACTCATGTGTCCATGTGAGACTCACGCTGTGTCCTGTGCCTGCTCATCTGACTTGGAAATCTTCCTGTAGCAGTAGACCATCTCTACTAGCAGCCAGCAGGTCAAGCACACCAGCAGAACATACATCATGATCTCAGAGTAGAGCGCTGCGGTCTCTCCGGTGGCTGTGGAGCAACAACAATAGCAAGGAACATGTATTATTCAGTATGCATCCTTCCGATGAATGTCTCTGTGTTGAATATAGCAGGGGAGAATTTCTGTATTCACTATATTTAAGAAAATGTTAAGCTTGTTCTTGTATGTGCAACACTGCTGACCCACAATCAACTCTCAGTCATTATAGAGAAGGCAATATTTGTATGGTAACAGTTGAGCCCAACTCAATAGGTGCAACAGTTATTACGATGCATCTGAACTTTAAGCAAAGCCAGGTCAAGTGTTCCAGTGTGTATCCTGTTCGAAAGACTTTAAAAATGATGCACAAACTATGTTGCATACAGAACATTATGGCCATACCTGTAGTAAAATGAAAATAGAGCCTATAGGGAGTTAAAGGTGGCTTGTGGAGTTTTCTTGTTAACAAACAAAAGTTGTGTTTGCATTCAGTGGTTGTTACCAGAATATATATATATATATATATATATCCTTATATATATATGCTTAAGGTCCATCAGATTTGTTGTGTTCATACATGTACAGAGCCAATTTTCTTTTTGTAAATGCTTTAAATTGTGCATTGTTTACATCCAACCTTGTCTTATTTGCTGCTTTTGTTGCAGCATAGCTACATTGTTTTGTCCGTTGGTAGTGTGAAACAGATGGCAGTGTGCATGTGCGTCCTTATATGATTGCATGGTACGAACAAAACAGGGACCTAAAAACAGTGCTCCACATATCTGCTAGTAGTCAAGAACTCCACAGGGTACCTTTAAATATGAAATATGATAGATATGCAAAGTCACAGTGGTTCTCAGGGCATTACACACCTCATATTTTAGGTCATAATTTTCATGTTATAAGACATATATTAAATTATAACTCATTAAGCAATATCTTTACATGGATTGTCTCCATCACTTACATTGGAACTGCATCATAAAGGTTTTTTTAATGACTGGAATGAACAGGAGGACTGATTCCAGCAAGCAAAAACTATTTCAAATGTGCACCTGACTTGGAAAAAATCTTAGAATCTATCCTTTAAATATAGTTTTTAATTTCAGGATTGTTATGAGCCACTGTGAACCACTGTGGCTGTGAGTGTGTACCAAATTCCAGAAAGCCTGCTGACCAGACAGTTAACAGCTTTCACTCATTTGATTCTGCAGTCTCTGCACATAGAGGCTATTAGTGTAATATAATCCCTTAGATGGGACAGCACAGATATGTTTGCCATAAACTAATCCATTCTGCTACTATGGACAACATTACAGCAACATGATTCCCCAGCAGTAATCTACAGTATACACTGGCTGGTGGCTTTTATGAAATTTGGTCCCACATGTATGAGATGTGAAGGAGAGGCTTTTGAATATGTATAAAAGATCAAAACTGTGGTATATTTTAGATAGTTGCACTTCGGAGGAAAATCACATCCAATTTTCACTCTTCTTTTTCCAGATGAAAACCAAACACTGGAATACAGCTTGCCTGGCCTATCTTTGAATGCCTCTGATAGTGAACTATATACCACATGCAAGCAGTTTTATATAATGTAAAGTTAAAGACCTTAAAAGTAGTTCCAAATATACATGTTGTATTGTATATTCGATCAAAGTGGAAAATGACACATTCAGCAAGCCAAGCATTCGGGAAGCAGAATACATTACCGCTTATCATAGATAGCAAAGTAGTTGGTTTGAATTAACCCCTTCAATGACAACAGAAGAAAGCTTTGATGAACAATAAAGGCAGACAAAACAAGACACACAGTTATTCCTTCTCAGTACAGGGGCAACAAAGGGGAGAGAGGGAAAGTGGTGTTGTTAGAGCCCTCGCACTGATGCATCACTTAGTGGAAACGCTGAAAGTGAAAGTTGGAAATATATAATAAAATGCAAAACCCACTTAAAGCAAACATTGAAGGAGGGCAGCACAAAGAGAACACTCAGTACTCAGAAGCCAACATGGCACAGACTTGTATTTGTACCAGGAGGGATTGTTAATTAACAGGCGTGAGCTTAACCTCTCCAACATATATGTGTGCAGCAGTATCATCCTCATCCTCCTCATCATCATCATCATGGTAGCGTTAGAATGTGCAATACTGCTGGGAAGTGATCAGTTATGCTGTCCTCCATCTGAAAAGTTATTTTGATTAAATGTATCTCAGTTAACATAAATCCATTCTTCTGATATTGAAAATCATGCAGGAAAAAAAATGTACACAGATTAATTCGATATTTTAAATATTTAGCTGTAGAATCACTCCTGTGGAGTCACTGCTAGACCAATACTGGCTTTTGGAGAGCTTTTAAAGGCTAAATATTAATAACACATTTGTTCAGGGCTGTAAAAGTGTTTCTTGCATTTTTTATTTTAAATACAATGGATGAAATAGATTGGGGTAAAAAGCTTAAAGCTTCTACAGGTAACTTTCATTTTGTGTTGATTTCCGCGGTACCTGTGGACAAAAGCAGAAGTGTTTCCCAGCACCAGATTCCCTTAGAAAACTCTTACTGTCTGCTCCGATCAATCCTGGTCCTGGTTCCGTCTGTGCTTCCCTTTCCTCTCGCGGGCCCAGCAATACGGCCTAAACCTCCAGATCTGTCCGCGGTGGTCTGTCTACTGCCGGAAGCCCCACTGGAGTCTGAGCTTAAGGACTTTCTGGTGAGCCTGCATGACATCATCTGATTTTGCGCGCAATCCAACCCGATGCCACCGATAACAAGGATTGCGAATAACTGTTTAGAAATAGCCAATCTTCTCGGTGATGCTCTCGTTAACTTATGTAGGTCACACAGAGACAACAGATTGAGACTGATTCATAACCATTTAAAAGTGCCGAACAGTAATGCTGAGTTGTAGATCTCTTGGGACCGATGTCTATTTTTGGTAACCTCACAGGGGCATGCCAATGACAGATAAACATTCAAGGGCAAACACAAGTCTGAATAACCTCATGTGTAGCTCTGGAATAACCCTGCAAAACTGATTTGTCTCCACACAGAACCATAGCTGGACTTAACACTGAGCTGTAACAACCAAGCATTTTGCTAAGCCCGAGCACAGAACAGGAACAGGGTAAAGTAACATGGAAAGAGTGGGTAACTGTTAGCCGCACCTTTTGCTTTCACCTTCAACTTGATTTCCTTGGTGAGGGAGGCCGATGGTTTGAAGTAGTCAAACTTAAACTGCCGATAGACGTTGCACTCATAAATGCCACTGTCATTGTAGGTGACGTTGATGATTCGAATGGAAAGATCTTGCAAGTCCGGGCTCCCATTCCAGGCCAGACGGCCCTTAAATGGTCCGTCCAATTCAACTGGACTGTCAACAACATACTTGTATATCTAGGAGAGAGGAAAGACAAGCAGGTGTATGCATAAAATATATATCGGCTACTAAACATACTGGTATGAACACATACAACGTGTTATATTATACACAATAATATAGCAGGGACCTACAGGTGTTTTGTTAGATGGGATGTCTTTTTCTTTGTTTGGCATGTAGTACCAATCCACATGCGTCTTTGATTTGATCTCATCCCTCTTCATACAATAAATGCAGGTCAACTTCATGGATTTCCCCAGGACTGCATTCGTCTCCGACGGGATATCGACACATACCGGCCGGCTCAGATGGACTGAAGGAGCATGGAAATGTCAATAACATAGCCTGATGAAAGCTCAACAATGTTAAAAGTCCCCCTCCACAGTTTTGCTTATTGTTACTTCGTGTTTGACTTTCACGGTGCAGAATTGTCTATGTGCAGGGTTTGACACTAGAGGCTATTTTCACTTTCATCTGCTGAAAGTGTATCTGTGAGTATATGTGAGTTTGAGATGTATAGGTACAAGGTGATCACTACTAGTTTAGAAGCCAAGTCCAGTATACAACTAGTGTGCCAAAATATGCAAGTGTGTTGTGGAAACTTGAAACCTTCAGTGCACAAAGACTGAGAATAGACTTTTTATTAAAGTAGGAGACATCATGTAAAAACTTTTGAAGTGAGTAAAATTGCCACTTTGCGGTTGTATGCCTCCACCAACCAGTCAAGTGTCAGTTTACATCCATGTCTGTCACTTGATAATTTTGTATCAGACATTTGTGTGAAATTGTCATAGCTAGAATATCAATTCTTGCGTTATGGCCAAAAATCTATTTCTAATCAGTTCATCTTTGAGTCCAAATGGATGTTTGTGCCAAATTTGAAGAAATTCCCTCCAGGTGTTCCTGAGATATTGTGTTAATGAGAATGGACCAGATGGCCGTACGTACATGTTGCCGGTCTGTAGACATAAAAACACTATTCTGCATGTTCCAGATTTTGGATATTTGAGTGAGAGGGTAACTAATACATGTAATTTCTTCGAATTACTAACAAGTTAATTATTGTTTTTGTGGAAAAACGATATAGGACACTAATTATTATTCAAAGAAGAGTATTTTTATAGGTCTAAAAACATGTTTGAATTGAAGCTTTAACTGTTAGATTTAGTTTATCAGTAATTGCATATAAACAATGTACTCCAGACCAGTAGTCTTTTAGAGAGCTTTTTGATACTCACTGAACCAAACAGGTTGCCTCAAAATGGGCCCATTGTAAAAGCAAGAGCATTTCAAAATAAATGTGCTTAAAGGTGGAGCTATAAGTCATCTTCTACTAATTCTATGCGAGGATCAATTTTGTTTTGGTGTAGGCCTGAAGACATTTTTAGGCTTCATTTAATGACTGTGTAAATACAACTATATGCACACTACTGTGACAGGCACAGTTTTTAACTGTAAAAAACAATACGCATGGCCTAGTGTTTCTTATTGAGGTCATCAGCTCCTGCACTCTGCGCTTATTTAGAGCCAGACACAAAACTCAGCAAGCGTTAAAATGACACAAATTCAATTATACAGCTCCGTGAGCACTAGAGAGACTTGAGTCACAATGCTGATAGCAAATCCGAGATCATACAGGCCAGTAAACACTAATGACGGCCTCTGCCCATTAGTATTAGCTGGCAGAAGGAGGAATAAATGGAGGGAGGGAGTGTTGGATGCAGGGACTGTGGGTAGTGTAGGAGGACAGCAAAGTATTGTGTAAATGCATTGCAAGAGATGGACTAATTAGGGGAAGGCAGGAAGTGGATGATAACCTGCAGGGAAAGAATTAAGGGGATTTCGAACATTTCTTGTGAAGTGAAGTGAGGCAGTATTCTCAGTGAGCACGTCACATGGATGTCTGTGTGTGTGCTGCTGTGTTGGGTCCAGGGCTCTTATACAACCCAAAGTCCCCTAGGGCAGACAGTGACAACATCAATTCCATCTCATCTTTTTTTTTTGCTCAGGGCTCATACAAAGGGATGGAAATAGGACAGAGAAACAGGGAGACCTATCGGGAGTAAAAAAAAACAAAAAAAACAAAAAACGGGAAATAGCTTAAGCCTGGTGTCCTCTGTTGAATGGATCGATTTATTTCGCTTAAATGCTAACACTGAGCGGTGTTGCACTCAGCAGGGGTCAGTCAGGCTGCTCTGAAAGTGGGTTTTGAGTTCACAAGTCATTAATAAAGCCCGTGATTACTTATCTATGTTACCAAAAAGCTGTTGCAATGCAACATTCACAATCAAAAAAGATACATGTTTTACAGTTATACTTACCAACAAAAATCAAAAGTGCCAAAGTTTGCAGATGAACTCTGGTTTGAGTTACCATATTAAGCTCTTTCGGGAGCTGCTGGCAGACAGTGTCCCCTCCAGCTGTTGCTTTTGGGAGAAACCCTTAAGTTGTCTTCACACAAGGCCAGGAGTAAGATAACAGGAGTTGTTGAAATTACTTCAGGACCACGGACAGCGCCTCTCCTCGGTAGATGAGTGCGCAGGTAACTTCCCTCTTCACGACTGAAAATCCAAACCAAGCTGTCGGCTTAAACGACAGATTTCAAACGAAAAAAAGGGCATAAACCAGTTGCAGAAACGAGGCTGTGGAATCTCTACGTGGTCATTGAAATTCGAGGTTTCCAATAGCCCCCTGTTCAGCCATTCAACGTCTATCTAGAAAGCCCCAACTTCATTATTCGCTCCACTCGGTCAAAATAAACAAGCCCGTGAAGAGCGATACAACAGCCCTTCTGCTGCTTTCACTCAGTCCAGATCCATCGAGAAAAATAGAAGAAGAAAAAAAGAAAACAAGCGAAGAGGAAGAACCTGTGGATTCTCGAAAGCCGATTTAGTACTGTTGCGAGGTCTTGTTTGCATAAACAGCAAAATAAATTAAAGCTGATCTCTTATTTCACTCCTCAAAGAATAACTCCATTGATTGTTCGAAATATGTTCCCCCATTAAGGATGACTGATGACATTTCCCAGCCGCGGATCACTGCCTTTGTTTTTTTTTCCAGCAGTCACTTAGCGCTGGCAGAGCAGAGGCTTTGATACGCATGCGTGAGTCACTCCCTCTTACACTACAACGTGCACGTACATATTATTGTCATTTGCGTCGGTCTAACCAACTCATCATGCACGTATACGTATATATGTATACATGCATATATATATATATATATAT